AGGAAGACCCTTTGGCTACAAACAACTCATCAGCCACCTTGAATTCCAACAGACCAAGGATACAACCCAACCATACACAGGTCACTGGTCAATACTGTAAAATGTAAGAATTTTGCGGTGGTTTCATTTCACTGTAGGAAGAAACAGGGGTGTTTGAATTTCGCAATTTGAAGCAATAATATTCTATGAAACACATACTGGTTTTGTATTACATATGTATTTTTTGTGGGTCAACTGTTATCAACTGAGTCTGCCTGTGCCGACCCAATTAATGATGACATGTATCATTGCCAATGAACAGAAAATACAAATACATGTACTTGATGTGTGGACTTTTCATTAAGAGATCACCATGAAAACTGCGAAAATAAAACCACCACGAAAGTTTCCGACTATACAGTATTCATGATATCACAGACAAGTAACAACACTATTTTTTGGCTCCTTGCTACACACACTAGTACAACCCAAGTGACTGGATAGGGAAGATAGCTCCAGGCTAGACCACATACCTCCCTTTGATGATCTGATCCTGGCTGATCAACTGGATAACAAACTTCATTCCCGACTTAGAGTCCGAGCCCTGTCTTTGATCGAGTTTGACAGTTCCAATCCAGGTGAAATCCTGTCCCAACGATATGTGCTAAACACACCCTAACCACATCCAGAAGCAAATGTCACGTTAAACCACCTCAGCTTCCACAGGAAAGGTTACTTACTGAGTACCAGTCCCATGTAGAAGTGTGTCAACTGTATTTCTACTAGCCTAAAACCTTGCACTAGCTACAAACACTTGTCCTCCTTTTAACAGTCACTGTAAGACTTATGGTAGCTCACATTTCGCACATGTAATCAAGCGAGACTTTTTCCTCAAGCTATACATAAGTAACCTAATTCCATTTTTAAAGACATAAGCATCGCGTTGCAGAAGACATATTTCTTTACCCCACAATGACAACGAAGCTTTACACAGCAAATTTGTTGTCTTCTATACATGTATGTATCATAAAAAATGTATCATAAATTTCTAATCTTTCAACACTGATTCCTTTTCATAAAGCCTTTAGTTGTTATCTACATCTGTCCACTTGCTTGAGTAACTGTTTTCTTGTGTATCTGTGAGTCTATCTCATTACCTGGAGGTCTAACTTTCATCAATGTCTTTCGTTATCAAGTTCTGAAGGACAGATTCCTTCATTGCTTTAGGGGAGAGATGAGAAATGAGAATTCTCATTACGATTCCCTCAGCGTTTTGGGTCTACCGGAGGTTAGTCAACTTCTGCAGGCTTTCAGGTGACACGAGAACACCTTTCCAGCAGGTGAGCAGGGCGTTAATCACACAGGTAACCCCGACAGACACCGCAATCAGCACACCTGGCAGGTAACTCACCTGGAATCACCGCCGAAGGTTTCCCATCTTACGCTTGCCGACAGGAATTAGTTTAGGGTGGCTGGACCCGACTTTAGCACCTCCACCCATAACAATTCTGGCTTTAAACTAATGCTGTACATTTTGATTACTTCTTCCTTGGATTCATGAATAACTTTATCATGGAAAGTAAACAATGCTTATTCCTATACCAAGAAGTCCAAAAATCCTGACAAAAAGCTACACAAGTCGAAGGTTAGACATCCAGGTAACATGATACACATCAAGAAAACTGTTTTTGAAAATCTGTCCAGTTGCTTGAGTAACAGTTTTCTTGTGTAAAAGGGTACATAGCATCCAAAATCAGTATTCATGACATTGTACCTGGAATTTAACCCCCCTCCCCCATACAAGAGAACTTACAACTGCCTCTGACAGTTAAGAATTATGCAATAAGTTCCCTTTTATATAGCTACGCCACGGCCTATGCCCAGCCATCCATTTTGAATGGGACTCCCATTAATTTTGTTTTCGTTCCTTTGGCCACATCCAAATATATGTACCCTGTAAATCATGCATTAAAGTTGTATGCCCTGACTACGTTTTACAGCCAAACTGCACACACATAAACCTAATCACTAGCACTATACTACAACCCTATAGCCCACCATATAAACGTAATAAAACAAAGCTGGTTCATTCCTGTATCCACATATAAACAAAAGAATACTGTCAGTTGGGGACAAATCAAAGAATATGTCCGTCTAGTTTTTAAGGTAATAAAAGGCATGTATACTTCACTCTATTAAGACCCCAGGGTCGTAGGTTATGCTACAGAGGTCATCTTGATCATGACCCCTCTCCGTGACCTTTTTCGGAAAAGAGCATTTCTAGCCCCAGGGTAGGTATAGACTGAACCTTTGAGTCTGAACTCCATTTTAAATTTAATGGAATCAGCCCAAATACAAGCCAATGATGGTTACTGTGACCGGAAAAATGCTACTAATAAATTTCAATGTTCACAAACATCAAAGAAATACTGTAAGTTTGACATTAAATGCCATAAAAATGTAAGGCAAGACCTCGACGTTGCTTCCGAGGATGTGCCCTGGACCTGAATGTACCGAAAATGTCAGTAATCTTGCAGTGGCCTTTCTACTTTTGACCCCATTACCAGCCCTTTCTGTAAAAGTTAACCGTTTCTGTACATGGATCATAACACAAGTATGTAAGGAAGTGACACTGAAAGTAGTTCAGGTCTTGGTGTACCACTTATTACCAGAAAATGACTCTCTCTGCATTAAGTTTGATTTAACATTATGATAAACTTGCTGAAAGGTTTCCATCACTAGTCTAGAGAAAGAATTACAAGGCCCATCAGCAAGATTTGAGTGACACTGAAAGAAGTTCAGCTTTTTGGTACACCATTCACTACCCTAAGTTTGATTTATCATTATGATAAACTAGCTGAAAGTTTTCCATCTTCACTAGAGAAAGATTTGTGAGGGCCATCGGAAAGATTTTACTTTTTTTTTAGTGACACTGAAATTCGTGAATGATAATGATGAAAGAAGTTTGGGTTTTTGGTGCACCACTTATTACCACAGAATGGCTATTACCACACTGACTTTGATTTAACAATATGACAAACTGGCTAAAAGTTGAGAAATATTTGCGTGGGCTATCGGCAAGATTTGATATGTCGGTGGCCGCAGCTGTGTGTCCTGAACCGTGCACTATGGAGTGAGATGAGGCTGTGTATCCTCGGGCACCGAACGCGGTGCTAATTTTACACTGCACTTGGCCGGTGTGCCGTCGCTGATTAAACACCGGCCGACGCATGACCACGTCTCACAGACACATGTTCCACTACATCATGGCAACGTATGGCCGGGCAACGTCAATAGATGCAATCACTCACAAAGTTTGGGCAAGAATCCACAAATCTTAAGACAAACTTGCTGGCTCAAGATTATTCTTTTCAGTATTATATAATATTTTATTCAAATAGTGAGTCAGTATTCTGTAATAGCTTGCAATTTAAGAGTAGATTTTTTTCTGAAAACTGTATAGATTACATTAGGATATTGGGATTTTCTTACACACAACCAGTGTTTCTTTCAACTTTCTTATATTTTGATCAGACATCTTCTTCACAGCTCTAATAGACATTGAAACATAAGCAAGGCTAAGTTTTACCAACCGAATGAGATTATTTTAATATGTATAGGTTGCAAGTAAGTTATTGGAGTCTTGACTTTTGTTACAAATTTTAAAAAAGATAAAAGAAAGAAACGACTTTTCCACCTTTGATCTATCGTAGAGTCAAGGTCACGCCGCACTTGATAATTATCGATCGAGACAGCGAGGCAGACAAATCGTGCGCTTAATTAGTGCCGGCCATTTCCTGTAATCGGTTTTGTGGTGGCTGTCATCCCGGACAAAACTTATTACCGAATAATTGAATCTATAAAGTATTTCTTATTAATCAAGGGAGCCAGAGAAGTTGGCTTCGGGGCCGCAATCGGTTTTCTTGCCCCAGAATTGATACCTTCTCTTCAAATTCTTTGATATTTCTATTCCGTGGAGCAAGCTGGGAGAGAAAAATGTAACTCCTTCAGGCAGAATAGCTGTACAGATATTGATCGGGGTGTATATTGACCAAGTTGATGCGTTTGCCCCACTTTGAGGGACAACAGGGGGGAATCAGAGTGCAAAACTACGATCAGTTACACGTATATGTGGAGTACAGATTGCTCTTACATTTTTGGACGTATATACCCGGGTGGTTAGAATTTAAGGCTGGTTCTTCAGATTCCTCATTAGTGTGATTTTGAAAGTATTTTAAACAACAAAAGAAATACAAGCCGCAAAAACATTAAACACTAATATACAAGCACAGATTGCTAATGAAACTCAATTTACATTTCGGACGTATATACCAGGGTGGTTACAATTTATTTTAAGGCCAATTTCACGTTAGTGTGATTTTTAATGCTTTTAAACGATAAAAGAAAGTAGAAGTTGCAGAAAACAGTCGACGCTAATCATTGCCCCTTGATGGAAAGGAGACAGTGACTGGTATTGAGTGGTCGTTACAGTTTTCATTACTTCAATAAGCGAGGCTTAGGGAAATAAATTACTGTATTGATCTTTGTCTTAGTCACTTCTAAGATGGTAAGCCCCTAGAACAAGCCTGGCTAATTAAGTGTCTTTCCCGATAACCTTCCAAACCAAGTCAATCGAAGAAATTTTACAGGTAACAGGGGAGGTATATTGCTACGAAACTCTGTTTCTACATTTTGGACGTATATACCCGGGAGGGTAATTTTAAGGTTGGTTCTTTTAATTTCACGTTAGTGTGATTTTGAAGTGTATTAAATGATAAAAGAAAGTACAAGCCTACTATGACTACCTGGAAGAAACTTTACACATAAAAGTGATGGTTGTGCTGAAAAATTTGCCTAGCCTGCAACATTGGTCTTCAGAGCAATGGACTCAAATCGGTCAGAAGAAGCCTTGACTTATTAAAAGTCTTTCTTGATAACATTAACAAAGTCCATTCCTCATAACAAAGTCTATCGACTACCTGGAAGAAATTTTACTGGTAAAAATGAGAAATTCGCCCTACCTGCAACATTGGTTTTCAGCGCAATGGACTCGAATCTGTCGGTGACGCCGCTTTCTTCCGAAACACCGTTTTCCGCATGGACTTCGAACTTGTACCGCGTGTGCGCCATGAGGCCCTGAATCTTCACCCAGGTGGCTCGGATGTCGTCCTTACTGGGGACGTACTGGACGGAGTCGTCACACTGCGTGCAGACCCCGCTCTCGGAACACTGCTGGCACACGACCTTGAACACAAGGTCGTCGCGGCCGCCATCGTCAAGGGGCGCCTCCCACGAGAGGTCGACGGTTGTCTTGTTGACGGTGGAGACGATGTTCCTCGGCTTTGAAGGGGGTGCTGTGAAAAACAACAAGATAAAAAAAAATTATGAACAACTTGTAAAAAATTTACTCGGTCTTGTTTCCATGTTCCTTGGCTTCCTGAAAAGGTGACAGTCAAGATGAAACGAATTGTGAACACTTTGTAACGATTCATTTAGATGTAACTGTGAACCAGGAACCAGTTTTGATAGCTGTCAATCAGTTTCATGAACATTGTTTTTTTTATTCTGTTATTAAGTGCTTTTATTTTTTATTCAGTGTTTTTAAATTGCTGAGGGAATTTGATAAAGAAGTTTTAACGACAGAATTGCTTGTATTGTATGTACAAACTCCATGCCACAGGTGCCCCAGAGAGGCACTTAATTCACTTGCAGCACATTAATATCCATCTCGGTTCGAACCAGTCATCCGAGAAACGCGCGTTTCCACCTTCCCGGGGTTTAGACTTGACCTTCCATTGATCGCCATTTCTGCGAGGTCAGGTCACGGCGGTGGGGTCGCGAGGATGATGTTTGTGCATTATGCTGAGGCATTATCCGGCGTGTATGGCACGGGGGTTTGTCGACCCCGCAAATGGAATCATCTTACTACAAATATGTCTTCATAACGGAGTTTAATGTGCATCGATTCTCTCCAACATTCTAGCAACTGGTTACAAGAAGAGGTTGTAAATCAACGATGCTTTCTAGTGTCTACTACGGATTTTTGGACGAAAATTATACGGGCATCAGGAGCCTAATGCATTGTGTATTTTCAGGTGGGCATCATGACTTGAGCTAGCTTGGAAACTTGTATACATGAACTCTTTGGCTTTCATACAAAGTACCCCTGGTAGTCATACATAACTACATTACCCTTCAAGTTTTAAAAGAAAACTGCAATAACACGTTACATAACAATATATTAGAGTAGCCATTTACAAACTAGCATTAGTGTGTAAAGTACTGGATTCAATCTTACTCTTGGTTTCCTTCCAAGTACATTTTGTACCTTTGACTTAGTTTTAGATGCATTGAGTTATGGTTACTGTACAGTCTAATATCTGTGTGTGGCGTCGAAACATTTTATCTCTGCCATTCAGAATCCATTCAGTTCACTTAGGCAGCCATCATCCATTTTACACATGCCCACATGGCATGGGCTGGCGTCCGCCCAAGCCAAACTGCAACTGTGTAATGTTATTTCACAAGGTCGTAGGAAACACCCACACAAAGTCACCCATTTCGCCTGGCAAAGTCAAATCGCACATGTTCTAAATCTATTTATGTGTGGGATGGCTCCTGAGGACAAGACTGGATATGTTTCTTTAAGGCAAATGGAACCTACAGATCGCACAGGCCATGACCTTGATAAGCCCCCCTCCCCCCTAACATAAGTTTCACGTGTTCTAAATCTAGTGTGGGATGGCTCCTGAAGACAAGACTGGATATGTTTCTGCAAGGCAAATGGAACCCATAGATCACACAGGCCATGACCTTGAGAGCCCCCCTCCCTCCTAACATAGGTTCCGCGTGTTCTAAATCTAGGATGTCTTGAGCAGACAAGATTGGAAAATGTTTCTTCAAGGCAAAAGAAACCAGCAGACCGCACAGGCCAGGACCTTTAGCCCCCCTCCCCCTAACATTAGTTCTGCCTTTACACCTCCAAATCAGTGCCAATCTCTCGAAGGAAAGTCTTGAGTCAAGATGCAGGCTTGAGGTCAAGGTCAAAGCAAAGGTCAGACTCTTCAGGCAGTTCTAGCCCCATCTGTATTCACCCAATCGTCAAGGCGGGTCGGAGGTCACCGGTAGTGATAAAGAATATTGCGAGCAACACTAAATCAAGTGCATTTGATGGTACGTTACGTAAAGGTTATGTTCAATGTCGCTCGCTTGAACTTGAACTCCATAAACTACGTCCTGTTTACAGGCGCAGCCAACTGGTCAAGCCGCAGAGCTGCGATATTTTTAAACACGCTCATGTGACCGTAAGATCAGGTCAAGACAACGAGAGGGCTTTACGTTAGAAAGGGAAAAAAAAAGTTTCGGTTCATTCGAACTTTCCCGAGATGTCTGGAGTAGATATGTTTGGAGTCAAGTTTTGATCACGTATGCAACGAGGTACGGACGGCCTTTTGCAGTTCGGCTTACTCAAAAGTCAGCATGTGCCAGGCATGAAATAACAGAGATGATATCTGTTAACTCGCTCCTGAAACAGCCTGCTTTTCCGAGAGCCAGTCTGGAGCCTGTGAGGTGTTTGCGAATGATGCGTCGGTCCCCTCAAATGAAAAATCCGCCCCCTTTACTCGGGAGCTTGCCATTTCAGGCGGCAAAAATCTGGGAGGCGTCGGAACGATAGAGTCAGCTGCTTCTAACGGATGGGTGAGGATTTCTGATCGCAAACTTTGATACGAGTACAAACGAGGGCCCAGGGTTTGCTTGTGGAGGACACAGTCTGCTAGAGATTGGACCACGTAGCATTCTGATACGACACAGAGGGTTTCGAAGGCTGGAAACAAGTTCTTCATAATTGTACAATTCCTAGAATTAGAGGATGTACAAAATGTTTCTTTGACCAGAAATTCATGATTGTGGGTACTAGATTGGACCACGTAGCATTCTGATATGACACACAGGGTTTCAAAGGCTGGAAACAAGTTCTACATAATTGTACGGTTGCTCATAAAGAATTAGACCAAGCATGGTAGCTCTACAATACTGTTAGATCTTCTCGATCAAAATGTTTTTTAAGACAGTCCACCAGAAATTCACCATTGCAGCGATATTGATTGTGGTTTTTACTGGAATACGCCAGCTTGCTTGTATCTATTAGGTGCTTGTCAATGTAATTTCCTATTTATATGTACTCTATTGTGAGTTTTTATAGAATCCCTGAAGAGTAACGATTTTTACCATGCTTTCAATTACCCCGGGCTCTCAATAAAAAGAAGTGAGCCAAGCAGACAGGTAATATGTACATTGTACTTTGTCAGCATATCTTCGTATTGGCAGCCTTTCAAATTGCTGCCTATATCATAACTATCTAGTAAAAGGCTCGGAAGGACTTTGAAAGGATCTAGCTGTTCCAAGGTTGATGGCATAAACTTTTCTGCCCCAATAGGCCCAAGGTCACTCAATCCCATGTCTGAAAAGTTTTTTGGCACGAGGTAGGAAATCTGGGCGAATGGCTACTTTTTTAATTGATTCAGGGTCGAAACAGCCTTTGGGTGATCCTTGAAAGTCGTTCTTGAGACATTTAGGGACGTCTTTAAGGGCTAATCAAATGACAAATCCTCGGAGATTACAGACACTAAGCCCAACTGGACCTCAGACGGAGCCATGAGTCCGAAAACTAAAACCCTTCATCAGCCTTGTTACTGCCATTATTACTGTCCAATCGTTGTCTAAAAGGCAGGGACATCGCTTTTAAAGCCCTTGGAATACAAAATGAAAGTTTGGCCCTTAATTTCACAACTTTTTAAGTCCTTGTACAATGAAGGAATTTGCTGTTGATTGACATTTTCATAATGATCTCAACTCAACAGCAAGATTGGGGTACTTTGGGCATGTCAGTGAAAATGACATTTTGAAAAGTTTGGTCCTATTTCACAACTTTAAAGTCATTGTACAACTTAGGAATTAAGCATTATCTGCATTTTCAAAGAACTTAATAATATGATGATCTCCTATTAAAGATTGCTAAGGAGCATTAAGTAGAATTCAACAACCAGTTGTGGCTACTTTAAGTATGTCAGTGGCAATGACAGATTTACATACCCAGGATATAAACTTTAGGGTCGGTTTGTTTTTGGAAAGACGAACGGGCCACAGTGGTGGATCGGGAGATACATAAACTGTTATCACGCTCATCAGAAGTTTTCTCGACGTAATCTTAATGGCGAAATCTCGCCCCTGGCACTTTGTTCAATTACAGTCGAGCAGCCAGGGTGAAATTTATAGCCGAACGGGTGCATATCTACGCTCGGGCCCCATAAAGAGCCACTGTTTGCTTAGTACATCAATCTCCAGGCTATAATGATTCCAGGATGTCTGAAGACCAACAATAATAACGGCTGTTGGAGAGAAATTATCCCGCTTTTGGGAAAACCGAAAAACTAACAGCTCCAAAATGTACGGCCACACTTTTGTACGACAGGAAACTTTACGATCGTTTGTTTAGGTAGCCCTCGTGTGAGAGCGAAATTGCGCTATTATAGCAGAACCAATTCTTTAAAGGCAAGCATTTAACTCGAGCTGCCATGCTGCCCCTACGTTCTCAATTTTAGGAGAGGAGAAGAATTGCTTGGGTTTTTATAGCCAGCCATAGGTCTTGTGTGGCCGGGCAGGTTTATTGGACCATCCTGCCTGGAGGCATTGAATCTACCGGAGTTTTTCCTTGTATTTTACAACTGCCGTACACAAAAGTCGTGATTAACACACGCACTCTTCGCATTACACTTTCCCACTAATCCACAAAAGAGTCTTTTACAGTATCAGTGTTGGGGCTTCTCTCTTAGGGCTTGGTATTGAAAATGGGGCTTGAAATCCTACCTGCATATATAGGCTAGTGCAGGTAAAAAAAGTATTTGGAACATTGAAAAGGTGTTCATTGCCTTTCCCAAGGGCACAACAGTGGGCCTGTGAGAACCTTCGAATTCAGATTCTGAGTACTAGTCAACAACCCTAACCACAAGAACACCTTGCCACCTTCAAATCCAAGCGTTGGTGCTTCTTTTCAGGTGTGTACAGGTTTGCAGAAGAAGCATTTCCAGCCCTGTTGCTGAGTATGTAGACAGAGGGTAAATGTCTCACGTGCGGGCGGAGGAACGAAGCGAGGCAGAGTTAAAGCGGAGCCGCAGGTGTGAGAAAGTTCGCCCCACTACACAGGTAATCAAGGGGCAACCTGACTGCGCGATC